ACGTCGGTACGCTCGTGGTGTGCGACGGCGGTGACCCCACCACCACCCTCTCCGTCTACGGCACCACTACCACTGACACCGCCACCAGGCACCACCTAAGGACGGACGACGGGCTGCCGCCGCCGCCGCCGTTTGCAGCCACCGCCGCCGTCGTCGTCCCGGTCGCGGACTACGGCACGGCGACGGTTGTGGGACCAGAGGTCGCGTGTGCGCGGCCCGACGACCGGAGCCGACCGTCGCCGACCCGAACCGACAGCGGCAGTGGACGCGGCTATTCGGCCGGCGCTACCGACAAACCGACGGCGCGCGCGGTCCCCGGCATTTAGTTTGCATTTATTCGGACGCGGTTGCATTGCCCGCCGCGCACCACACCGGCACACGCACCGCGCACCACACGCTCGCGCTATCGCCGCCGCCGCACGGCTCAGTCCACTCGTCGGCACCGCTGCGTGCTCTGGTCATTCCGGCACTCGCGGCCATCGCCTACGTACGCGCGACGCTCGTCGTCCGTCCGCCCGCTCGCTCCGATAATATTATTATTATCGTCGTGTACTTATACCTTCGAACACTTCGGTTCATAAAATAATATTAAAATATACGCACGTACTTATTGTTTTTGGTTTTTATTTTTTATTTTTTTTTTAGTTTTATTATTATTAACTATTATTTCCCTTACGACTGATGATAATATACCGCGGTCACTCGTGACATTACGCGATATTAATTATATTTCGCGGACACGATTAGTCAGTTTGTTTCGTTTCTTTTTTTTTAAATTGAGTTTCGATTTCACATACACTCCGCATTATCCGATTTACGAAATATATTCCTCGTACACTGTAATTATGTGAACACCACGGTCAAAAAATGATCGACTTCCGACTTCCGGCCAACGTTTTTCCGACGTACCGACTACCGACGTCGGTATTCATATGAGGAAAAAAATTTCGTAACCAACGTGGTGGAACCGTCAAGATTACGTTCACCATGAGGATTAAAATGCCCGCAGTTCGTATCGCACAAGGTATGCACAGTTTCTACATTTATTTGGCTTTTTTAAGTATGATATAATATTACATGCAATATGCATTATGCGCATAATATTGGTACCTATACATAATATTATAAAATAGGGGATGAAACATATTATATCATATATTTATCTTATTTTTGTTTGAAATTCGTGCAGAGACTCGCTAGGTATGAAATCGTAATCGGTTTTCTTAGGATTCATAGGTATTTACTTTTGATAGAGAAATGAAATAATACTCAGAATAATACAAATTATGTTTGCTATTTATTTACATAACGTCATGTGTATAAAATATAATGCATAAAAAAGTACTCGATTTATCTATCTTTGATTTTTATCATAGTTTAACGTATGTTCCATTTTTATTTAACTGTTGTGTAAAAAGTATAACAACTAACAAGTGCCTAGGTACCTTTAGGTATTGATGCTGAAACAAAATAAAAACATGATTTATGCTCGTAGAGATGTTACCTGTCAGTAACACTGTTATACTGATTGGGCTACTATATTGCACAAATATAATTAAAAACAGGATTATGAATTTACAATTAAATTAACAACTTAAAATACCATTCAGTATCTGTATCTTTAGTAAACATATTAAATTTAAATTATTGAAAAAAGAAAATTACTTAGGTACCTATTGTGATATAATTTTTTACAGATAAAGATATTTTATAATAAATTATTCTCGACACTAATGTGAAATGAATAAAAATTCATTTTTCAATTTCAATCAAGTACCTACCTATAATTGTAAAACCATAATTATTATTCGATTTTTTATACGCTTAAATAATAGCTAACGTCGTTGATAAAATTCTTGTAATAATTATTATCTTATATAAATTGAAATTGGTTACCTATTTGTTTATTTTATCGCAAAAAAAATCTCGCACAATGACCGTTCATTTATAAATTATAGGTCAGGGATTAAAAAAAAAAACATCAAGATATATACATATATATATTTTTTGCATTCATTTTATAACATCGCACTATGTTGCTTGTGTGTATTAATAAAATATAATAATGTTATAATGTTAGGATATGTAATAAGTAGGTACCTATATATAATAATATTAAGTAGCAGTAATTCACTGCAGGTAATTGTTGTCTGGCCGGTCGCGCCGTCGTCAGTTACTCCAGTTCGCCCGCACGGCGTGGCGATAAGTTTTAGCCCGACAAGCGCTTTCGCATCGCACACGCGAAATAGTTATCTGCACAATTGCGTCGGCATCGTCACAATATTATCACAGGTTGACGATTCGAGTGATTAAAATACGTCATAACCAACGGCAATATATTGACAGTATAACAATATAGGTACATAATATTATTAAATTGCAAATATTCAATATCGTTATAATAAAATGCTTGTGTGTCCGCCGATGCCGTTGGTGATCTCTTGACCCGTGTTTTTATTTATTATTGAATTTCGGCCGGGAAAAAATGAACCGAATGGTGTGGAACGACCACCCTCCCCGCGAACGCATCAGCTGCTTGGCGTATAGCGCTCCGTGTTGTCCGTAGTCGATTACGCGTTTCGTGTGTACACATAAGATATATAATGACATTATGTATAGACATACCTATATAGGTCTAAACATATCTACACGCGGTTCAGTGTCGTGTGTGTTTCTCGATAATATTCGGATAAGAGTCTTGGATGAAAAATACGAGATAAGTGGGTAGGTCCAAGACGACACGATATAATTTTTTACCTGTTGTTTTTTCTTAATACCTATATATGCGTCGTCGGCGGGACATTTGTTATTATTGTGCTCCAAACGTAGTATTATTATTATATCGTGTACATAATATTATTGCTATTGTTTATGTTACGCACCCAAAAATATACGGTTGGTGAAAAAGAACCCGTACCTGAAACTGTATAACCATCAGATTTGGAATGATTTATCGGCGATCTTTAACTGTGATAACTTTTTCATTTCTGGCTAGTACCAAGTTAAAATAATTCCGGGTTTCACAAATTTTTCAATAAAAATAATCTTTGAAAACCGAACAGTCATGGCTGCTGTACCTAAAATACCTAATAAATATTAATTTTGTTCTTATTTACAATTCGTGGTATTATGATAAAATGTATTCTCGGGTATAATTTATAGCTGATGTATTATACACATATACTATGTAAATATTATAATACATCCCCAAGACTCTTATATTATAGGACAAATTAAATGGGATGCAAAAGTCAAAACCTTTAAGGACAATACAGAAAAGGCGAGGAATCGGTTAGAATGGACAATTCGGGTTGAAAAAAAATATAAATCATAGATCATGTACTAATATTATGCATATTTATTGTTGGCCACAACTATACCTATATAAATTTTAATTTTACATAGCAATAAAGCATATTAAAAATACGTGCGTGCGTAATACTGGTATACCTATATTATATAAATTACTTTTTTTTTTTTGAAATAATAGGTATTATCGAATATCGATAAAACGAGTGATCGGTCTTTTCGACACAATACTGAAATTAATGATAGGCGTTTGACACGATTCTTTCTAACCTAATTGTATTTATAATTAGATACTAATGCGGCATTCGTACGCGCCAAAAAATTATTCCCAAATCACGATTTCATAATTAATAGGTTGGTCCTATGTTATAAAATTAACCACGAGGGATTGTGTATTTTTAATCACAAACAACGACCCTCGCCAGGGTTTACAATAGATCGACGTACCTATTATAATATTATAATGTCCGTTCCCAGTTTCCCACACGTTATTGTCATCGCCAAAACCGTCCATCCCATATCGCACCACGACGCGTAAATCGCTTTATTTTTATATCTCTCGTTTCGTGACCGTCGCCCGCGATAACACGAAGCTTACATATACGCACACAACCGTTTCGTATTTATAGGTATGTATGCATTATTATTATTATATCCGTTTCTGTGCTCGCGAGCGTACCTGTACGGGTTATAATCCGTGTGTATACATCTTGATATCATATAATATAATAAAGCAAAAAGAGGAGAAGAAAAAAGAGTGTGTGTTCGTGTATGTATATAATATTGTGTATAATAAACGGGTTATAACGAGACGCATTTTGTCGTCGTCGCGTGTAGGCATTATACATACACACTACACACATATAGGTATAGTACATCGTGAGTAAGTGCGCTCGGCCGCGTTTAATGAACGGTCCGTCGTGGGAAGACCGCGCTCGCAGTTTGACCCGCGAGAATGTGGTCAATTACGGCTACTCTGACGAGCGGCGGCGGTGGCGTGCGGGCGGCGTATCTGGTCTCCCACGCGGGGGTGGCGGGAGAGCGGCGGCGACGGCAGCGGCGACTGCACAAAGGACGAAAATCCCGAAAAGCCTTCTCCGCGATACCGCCGTCACACGATGACAATAATAATGTTATATAACAATATAAGTACCTGTATGTATAATATATTATAATATATATACATGTATACGTCATCGTATGTTCTCGTACCTCGATTTAAATGTTCAAGACTAGGTATCAGTTTTATATAGGTATTATACAGGGCCGGCTCAAGCAAAAATAGTGCACTAGGCAAAACCTAAATTTGCCGCCTCTAAAAAAATTTGAGCTCTAATTTAAACTTAGCCCCTCCCCCTATTTTTTATGTGACATAAACACCTACATGAAAATTTTTTTTATTTTTTTATTTTAAAGGAATAACAACTAGTGTTGGGACTATTGGGTTATTTTTATATATTTTTTATATTAATGTCATATTTGTACAGTTATATAATATAACTGATAATAAATTCATTAGGTAGGTACACATATTTACATTTTAAGAATTCATAATAATATATTCAAATATTTATTGCTTTATAAAATATTTTTCACTTTTAACCTTACAAATAATTAAACCTTTGTCATAATTTTAAGAAATAAAAATTATAATAATAATATTGATAAAATAAAATAAAACAAACTTAATTTTATTTAAAATTGACTTTTCTTGCTTTTAGTGAAGCAAAGCTCTGTATAAGTTCATCCATGTCTAATTCTTCAGCAATTTCACTTTCAATAGATAGAGTGGCTAATCCTACTAATTGGTCTTGAGATATATTTGTTCGCAAATAATTTTTTAATATTTTAAGTTTTGAGAAACTCCTCTCGGCTGTTGCAGCAGTTACAGGTAAAGTCAATAGAATCCTTAGTATAACATAAGTATTAGGGTAAAGTTCTATCAACTTGTTTCTACATATGTACGTAAGAATTGATTTCGGATCACACGTTTCGAAAGTAAAACGTTTTTGCAAAGATATAATTTCACCATACAATTCAACAGCAACTATATCCGTACTTAATCCATCACTTGAAGTTAGGGCTATTTGTAAATCTTTACAATTTTTCATAAGTTCATCAAAATCAGAAATTTCAGTTATATTATAGAGAAATGAAAATAAATCGCTGTGATCTGTAAGTTGTGAAAATCTGTCATTGATTGATTGAATAGCAGTGTCTAAAATCTGATTGAAAAAGTTAATTTTAAAACTTTGTTTTGGGTCATGAATAGGTTCGTCTCGTGATTCATATGCAAATTGAGTAGTTCTACGACGAATTCGAGTTGGGACAGGAAAGTTAGCCTCAATTTGAAGTTCATTTGCTAGTGTCTTAGCTTGTCCTAACGTCTTTTGAAAACCTTCATCTGTACGATATTCTTTCAAAAATATTATTGTATTCTTTAATTGTGTTATAGTTTCTGAAATATTCAATGACACAGATTGAAGTAATTTACTTGTATGGTTAATTTCGAACAATATATCATACCAAATAACAAGACAACACAAAAATTTAAAATCAACTAATTTTTCAGCAATACTTTTAGCTTCTGCACGACATTTTACTCCAGTTGCATTCACAAGTGTTAAGTCTTCTACAATTTCTATTAATGAATCATACACTTCCCCAACTTGAAATCGAATGGCTTTAACAGCGTCAACTCTGCTCTCCCAACGTGTTGCACTTAATGGTTTTAGGGTAAGACTACTAACATGTTTTTTAAATACGTTCCAACGATGAGTTGATCCCGAAAAAAATACATAAATCTCTTGAATTAAACCAAAAAAATTAACGGCATCTAAACAGCAATTCGCAGCGTCGTTTAAAACTAAATTTAAGCAATGGGCATTACATGGAACGTAAAATGCTCTTGAATTAATTTCTCTCACTCTAGCTTGAACGCCACTATTTTGACCTCGCATATTTGAACCATTGTCGTACCCTTGGCCTCTCATGTCATCGATAGGTATATCTAAGTCTTTTAGTTTTTGAATAAGAACATTTGTCATGTTTAACCCAGTTGTGGAATGTAATTCGATAAAATCTATGAAATGTTCATTCACGGAAACGTTTGTATGTTTTTCATTCTTATTGATACCTTCTGTAGTTGTAACAAATCTAAATATCATAGTCATTTGTTCTTTGTGACTTATGTCAGGAGTACAGTCTAATATTATTGAATAATATTTGGCATTTTTAAGAGCAGATATGATTTGTAAATTAATTTTTTTGGATAGTAATTGAATAATTTCATTCTGGATATTTTTACCGAGATAGTGGGAGTGAATTTCTTCAGAAGTTATCCTTCTTATGTGCTCTTTCATAACAGGATCATATAGACCCAAAAACTCAATCATTTTTAAAAAATTACCATTATGAGGTGTATTGAGTTTATCAGAATCGCCTCTTAGAGGTAAATTTTGTCCAGCCATAATTTTAATAAGTGATATTATACGATTAATAACAGCTTTCCAGTGTTCAGTTTCCGCCCTAATAATCACCTGGTTAACATCATCTATAGTTTTTCCCATTTTCACCCTTATTTCTAATTCTTTCCAATTTAGTAATGCATTTTTATGATTAGGCGAATTTTCGTGATTTTTGAGAATATTTCCTATATTTTTCCAATCTCGATTACCATGTGTAGCAAGAGAAAATGTACCAGATTTAAACAATTTACAACAGAAACAAAATACTGAATCAACATCTTTTGAATACATAAGCCAAGTACGCTGTATGTTTTCACCATTTGATAGAATTCGATAAAAGTATTTACTAGAAAATGATCTACCGTCATCATTTATAGGATACTGAGTTAAAATAATCTGAACTGGGTTATTAAATTTTTTTACTAATATTAACCTATGTCCATCATTCAATGGATCAGGCCATTTTGATGGATCCTCAAAAAATGTAAGGTCAATGCTATCATCAGAGACGATATTAATATCATCTTGAACATTATTTGAGATATTATTATTAATTATTTCCTCACAAATCGTGTTGTTATTATTAATATTTTCAGGATCTTCAACATTATTTGATTGATGCTCATTATCGATATGACTTTTTGAGACGTCATTATCAATTATTTTCTCACAAATCGTACTGTTATTACTAATATTTTCAGAATGAAGCGTAAAGTTATTCACAGACAAATTATGTTCGATTTGTTGATTTGGTTTTAAAAATTGAAGAAGACCAACCCGTTGCTTAGCAGAATCTTTTTCTCGTTCAATTCGTTTTTTTTTATATTGTGCACCCGATAAACGTTGCCGTTTATTCCCTTCTCCTGACATTTTCAAACTGTAGACTCTACAAATAAAATATAGTAGTAAATTTGACGTTTTGTTGAGTTTTTACTATGTTTTATTTTTATTGATAAGTGATAACTATTTAAATATGTAACATCGCACATATGATATAATTGATTAAAAAAATTTGACAGGTAATATTTAATTTAATGTTAAAAATATAAGTAACCCAAATGTATTTATATAACATTTATTATAGTGTTGCACATTACGTATAGTTTCGACTTGTTAATAAAAAAATCGTATTCTCTAAACTGAATATTAAATTAAAAAAAAATTGTATTAATTATACCTACCTATTTAAATTTAAAAGTTGATGAATATCAGGATATTTCTAGTTAAATCACTTTAATATGATAATATTACATGGTAATATGAATTATATTTTCTAAAGATAAATAAGTTAAGTAATTTTAAAATATAAAAAGAAATGAAAATATAATAGATAAGTACAAGATTTATATATAGACATAAGTTTTAATATTTGGTCATTAAATCATTATTTGAACATTAGTTTTATAAATATGTACGATGTACCGATAGTATTTTACTTACTTAAGAAATCAACTGAATTTCAATTTTGCTTGTGTGTTGTGTCAGCCGTCAAGAATCGAGCACGAGTCACGATGAAATAAAAGTTAGATACAAATTATACGAATATACAATATACAAAATGCTGCTGATGCGATTAAAATATAAAACAAAACCGTAACATGATTTGACATGTCCAAACTGGAAAGCGAGTGCGTCCGATGCGTTATCGCATCGGCCGTACTCGCCGGTCAAGTTTGAACTTTAAAAATAGTTTTGTTTTTCATCGCATTGGCCTTACGAACATTGACAGAACGTTATAAGTATTTTATTATGTATTTATAATTATTATATTATATTTTTTAAAGTATTTCATTGTACTAAATTAAATTACATTTTTTAAAATGCCGGCATGCCGCCCCTGTTAAAGTGCCGCTCTAGGCAGGTGCCTAGCTCGCCTATGCCTTGAGCCGGCCCTGGTATTATATACGGCACTATGACTGAAATTACTGTCGTCCGTTATATTTTCAATTGGAGGTTAAGTGATAACTGATTACCTATAATCTATATTATGTATATAGGTACTATAATACACGATCAAGACATTGCCAAAAATTTCAAACTTTTCCCGGAGTTGGGTATTATAATATGATGACCGGACTCCGATGCGTATAATACTAATATGATAATTATAGGCGTTATTCACTCTCACACATCACGCCGCACAGGAGAGAAACATGATGATTTTATGATTATCCTTATTACAACTCGTTCATATTATATAATATATTATAATATTAAAATACGTACTAAAGTAATTTAGTTAAACGGTTTTGAAATCAATAAACCGGTTTGAAAGATAAAACGTTTGCACTAAATATAGGTTTACATTCTAAATAGTTAAAGGATTTAAAAACTGTTTAATTGATAAATAAGCGGGTATATCATATATTTTGGTGCTAAATATATTGCAACAGTATTCAAATATAAATCATACTACTTAATGTATCTATATTCTAACCATTTTCAACACATTTTTATTCAGATTCGTTCTTAATTCAAAACGGTTTGTCGACTTAAAAGCTATATATTAATATTCAAATGTAGTATATACCAACTACCAACCGTGGCTATAGCCTATAAGTATGAAAACACCCGCGAGGCGCAAATGGGGGCAAGGCATCATATTATGACTACCTCCTATATATGGTCATCGCTAACGAAACTCCCGACTCCCGTACACTGAAGAATAACTAGGCAGAGTCCGTAAGACTGGGTGATCGGACGTCATTATATTATCATGCGATAATAATCGGTGCCCATTACTCTTACCATAAACGAGTAACGACAGCATTATGAAACAGCGTGTGTGTACTGCTATAAAATATTAGGTAGTATAATAATATTAAATGTGTTTATTGTCGCAATGGCATAACATATTATGACAAAAATTTAAAAATAAATGATGACCGTCACCTAGCTCTAGGTTCTATAGGTATAAACTTGCATGTGGCCCCAGCCGTCGCCCTTCGACCCACGGATGACAAAAGACGCACAACCCACAGATTCAGGTCCGAATGTGTTTTAGTGTATACGTATTATATTATAAACGCGTGACTACTGTAGTGACCTAATCATCTAAACCTAGTTCATTTAGTTAAGTAGGGATACTAGTGATAAATAGTGATCCTAATTTCTAATAATAATTATAAATTATAACTTATAAGAATAATTTATTGTAAGGAGACGACGACATACGCGTACAAATCACAATATTTTCATTATTATAGAGCTGCTTCGAAGCCTATAATATGATAGTGGCAGTCTTAGAAATAATATTCTTAGAATAACACTGATATGCAGCAATTACTGCGTATAAGCTATGATAATTTATTTTTATAAACACCCTTTTGAAAAACCAATGACGTATATAATTAGATAATATACAAGATACTAACCGCCACCTTTGTTCAGTTCAAATAAAAACAAATTTTCTATATTTTTTTATAATGTAATGATAAAGGTCCTGTGGCTCCCCAACTTGGACATACCTCGGGGGTCCCTGCGGCCCCGTCCTAAATACGCCACTGACTACCAAGTGATTGATTTAAGAACGTTAAAATAAAATGTGAAAACCTATTCCATTAGTTGTTTGTGCATAATAATATAAATTACGTATGTAATGCTAAAATGTGTACCTATACATATCTATTATTGAATATACATTACATACCTATAATATTAAGCTCCCGAAAAATGTTCACAACCCGAGTGACCCGCACCTCTGCACCACCCTCTGCACCACCCGGCTCCGAAGTCTTAGCTATAAGTACCACATAATATAATATTATGTACGTTACTATGCAGATATTACATAATAACCTGCTGTTTTAGACACTAGTGAGACAAACGGTTTCCTGATTTACGATTTAGTATAATATAGGAGGTACCTACCGGTTTGAGTGAAAAATAAAAAAAAGTGAGTAGATGCATAATACATGCAGCTATATAATATTCAAGTGAGCGTAAATAATGACGACGACGTTAATAATAAAATAATAAAAAAACAATTGATTCCGCGGCGAGTTGTCGAAATAAAGAATCGCGTGCCTAGCCCAATTCCGCCGTCGTCGTAGTCGTTGTCGGCACGCCCATCCTGCAGAGCGCGGTAGGGGAAAATGCCGCCGCCGCCGCATCCTTCTGGATAACGTTATTAGGCTAATTCGTTTTCTCTATTTGTTTTATATATTTTATATACACACAAACATATTAGCTACACGTGTATATACATGTACGTACACAGGTACGTACCTATAATACCTATATATAAGTAATATATATATATTTTTTTATTATCGTTTGTTTTCTTTCGGGGCTCGTGTCGCCGTGCGGCCGCACCGTGTGTGCGTGCCATTTACATACAATGAGAGACCGTTAAGCCACATTAAACAATCGCAATTACGCCTTCTCGCGCGACCATTGTCGAAAAAAAAAGCCTAATGATTTCGTCGTCCCGATCACCGACGTCGCGTGGGAAACACCGATCGAGAGGAAACGATCGGTAACGTGCTTCTCGGGTACAGATCGCCAAGGAACGTAAAACATATTTTTTTTTTCAAAACTACTTGTATTTTCTTTTAACGCACTCACACACCATCACTATATCAGTTCATATACATAGGTATGAACCTCAGAAACGCCGGCTAATGAGAAAACCGTGCAGAGCGTAAACCCGCGCGCACCACCGGTCATAGGTGACGGTGCGTGGACTGAAGCAGTGTGGTGGTGTTGGGTAGGGGTGGTGGCGATAAGGAGGCGGTGTTTACCGAACGTTGAACGTGGACGGATAAAAAAAAACCGAAATTGTTTTTTAAAAAAAAACTCAACGGACACACCGCCACCGCGGGTGGCGGCCAGGAGTACCTTTTGTTGCGTTTCCACCACCAGCCCGCAGCGAGACTCGCCTCATTGGGTTTCCGTACCGGAATTCGTTTCGCAACTGTTTCGCGTCTCTGCCCAATCCCCAATAACACCGTCGGCGGCCATATTGCCGACCTAATTAGTCACACGCGTTATGTATTTTCACATGCATCGACCGAGGAAGACGGAAAACGGGAGAAATAAATATTCCTAGGAGAAGACAAAAACTGAATAGTACCAAAATATCTATACCCAAAGAAATCCGAGAAACCCGGCAGATGTCCTATACTCCTTTATATATAATACACATGGACATGTATTTCGCACATATATATTTCGTCGTCGTCGTCATCATTATTCATTCGGGATCATCGCCGTACACGGGCCCGCGCACATCCATTTCTCACGTGCAGACTGTGTGCATGCGGTCTACGGAGCGGCGAAAACATTCTGTGGCGGGACAACAACTATATAATAATAATAAATGTTTGCACTTCCTGCAGGACTTTGCGCGGGGCGTACCGGACCGGAAACGCCGATTACGCGACGACTGCAGATGTGTGATGCTCACAATACTGCCGCAACGATGGAACACACGATATGTCACTGCTGTCGGTTTTTACTTTTTCTGCCGTAGATGATATAGAAATGTGCTCGGAAATGTGTATTGTCGTTTTGACATCGGCCAAAAACCCACGGATAAAAGCTCGTTGACATTTACAGACACACTCGTACCTGCAGCAGTGCAAACGAGGTGCGCACGCGTCAATAATATAATACAGCGTGTTAGGCTTGAAATAAATAAATAAAACAAATCGGTATATCATACATTATAACAATATCATATTGTGTGCGAGGAAAAAACCGAAACAACTGTCGACGGCGATAAACTGCTGCACCGGCGCGTAGCGTATTACCTGCAGCAGTATACCTATGTAGATAGGTACAGTGCACCGTCCAGGTGTGCGGCGCCCGTCTATCTAATATGCGCGCGTGTATATATTATGATAATATTCTCTCCCGACGATTGTAAT